CAGGCAGTGCCCGGCGCTGAGCCCCGGCTGCCCCACAGCCCCGGCCCGGCCCCACAGCTCCCCACAGGCCCCCAGCCCGTGCTCCTGGTGCCGCAGCTCTGCGCCCGCTCCTGCCGCTCCCAGCTCAGAGAAACCCCCAGAAATCCTGACCTCCTTGTTTTCCTGTCTGGGAAAACTGGGATACAAAGGATCTGGGTCAGCTGTGTTGCCTTCGAAAGGCATGGTGATCGACCCCAGGTCACTTGGTCCATCTGCACACTGACACAAATGTGGACAGCAAAATGGCGTTTATTGGTTAAGAATTTGACACTTTATAACCTAAGTTTCCAATGTCACTCCCTTCTGCTTTCATCACAGCTAGGTGCCATTGGCTAATTAAGGGGGTAATTACCATAAAATATTGAGGGGGGGGTGATTCTGTCTTTCCGTAAATCACAATGTCTTCCGAGCGCTGGCCCCTAATGCTCCACATTTCCCCCCCTCCTTATGCTTAACTAAATTGTCTAGAATAGAATGTGTATTAGTCTTGAAAGTTCTAACGTTATTTTATCTTTATCTGTCTTTAAACATTTTATCTAACTTATCTATATTATGAAAAGTTTTAGAAGTATATATCATAGACTTCAGTAAAAATATAAGGTGCGCTATACTTAACTAAAAAGGCTAAAAATTTATAAAATAGATACCGTAGCTTTTCATTAACAAACATAATGCACAGCGAGCAGGCAGTGACCAAGTGCATTCTTAGAGCATCTGCTGTCTTTCTACAAACAGGATGTTGACCCTCTCTAGTCGGCTCTTGACAAAAGACAGAAGCTTATTTAAAACACACGGTCCAAAGATTAACACCAATAAGATCATTACGATTGGCCTGATCAGGGTGGACACTGGGGTCGTCAGCCATGGAGACTAGTTAAACAGCGATTCGAACCACCCTTGTTGAGCTTCTCTATCTCTTTCTCTGGGCTAGTCTTTCTCTCAATTCAGCTATAGAATCTCTGACCACTCCGGTGTGATCAGCATAAAAGCAACACTCTTCCCTTAAGGCAGCACAGAGGCCTCCTTGCTGCATTAGCAGAAGATCTAGCCTACGTCTATTCTGCAGGACAACTTTAGAGAGTGAGGACAGTGACTGTTCTAGAAAGGAGATAGATTTTTCAATTATCTGCAAGTCTTCATCAATTGTCATTTTTAGCTGAGACAGTCTCTGTTGTTGGGTCATGATGGCAGAGACACCTGTGGCAGCACCAGTTGCTCCCAGGCTAAGCAGCATCGCTGTGGTCACACCTGTCACCAGTTCTCTTTTCTGAAGTCAGGCAAGTCTCTCCGCCTGCAAGTTTAACTCCTCATCCGGGTGGTACAGGACCCTGGGAACAATCACAACTTGCACACAAAAATCGTTAGAAACACTGAAGTCACAAACAGATAGGCATGGGGTAATCATTGTTGGGTCTGTGCCCATCAGCTGCTGCAGACTGGAACCTTGCAGTTTAGGGTTTATTGGTGAGTGGATCTTCTGTCCCCCATCTGTCACCCGGACTGGGAACGCCAGCCCAGCTGAAGGGACCCAGCTGGCACATGCAGCTTTTACTTCTCCCCAGTCTGTGAGAGGGCTGTCTCCTCTCAGTTCTTTTGTAATGTGGAGGGGGATATTCTTGTTTATCTTTGTTGTTTCCTCCTCTAAGGAGTCGGTCACGGACCACTCATCCTCGCTGGTGTCTCGGTCGGAGTCAGAACTTGACTGGCTGGCTACTTCCGTTTTCTTGTACCTTTTTGTCAGGCTCCAACCCCGCCTAGGTCCCTTGTGGGCGGGTCATTCCCTTCCTCCTGGTTCGCCCCTTTCTTTTGGTCTGCCCCATCCTCTGCTCTTCTCCCCCTCTTGGCTCTTCCCCCCCACCTTTCTCCTTCATGTTCTCCTCCTGTTCTTGCTGTGCAGCACTCCTGCCTCTTATCTCCTTCGCTTCACATTCTCGTTCCCTCCCACGTACTTCATCTTTCTTGTCCTCATTCTTTTCCCATCTACGTACGCTTGTCAATGCCAACGTTTGTTCCCTGCTCCTACCAAGGACATTTTCACTTTGCTCTTTGTGTTTTTGTTCGGTGCTATCTTGGGGCACATAGGGCGGTGGTCCTTCCCGGGCTTTCCCCGCAGCACCCCTGGCTTCTTCTGTTAACTCCTTCCAGAAAGTTTCTGCTCTCTGCTGACCCTCGGCAAGCAGATCGGGATTTGGGAATTGAGGGGACGTATCGCCCTCTTGTGTCCCCTTCGGCTCAGCAGAGCCGCTCTCGTCTGGGACCTGTAATGTCTGTGTAGCCGCCCCGACCCCCAGTTTCAGGGTGGCCAACAAACAGTTTTTTGCCGCCCTCCAGGTTCCCTGCTCTTGTATAGCTTTTCGCAGAGCTTTAACAACCTTCCCCCATGACTTAAGATGTTTCCCGGTGCCTGAGGACATGGTTTCCTCGGCTAAAGCTTTCGTAGATCTGTCCCACTCCTCAGGGTGGAGAATATCTACTGGCTGGTCTATGACCCCAATATTCAAAAGCAAGTGGAAGAGTAAAATCCTTAGGTTTACAATCGATACCCCACTGCTTATGTAATTGCGATACGACCTTCACAAGGGCTTCCATCTCCTTGTTGGTCCAGGAGCATCCTCCCTGCCGGGCTGGTCCAGCTGCTCCGCCTGTCGCCCCCTGTCCAGGCGATTCCCGCTTTCTGGATTTGATTCCCGGGTTTCAGCACCACTTTGTCTCCTTTAAAGGCATGGCGACCTGGTTCAGGGACGGCACGGTGACCAATCCCAGGTCACTCAGTCCATCTGCACACAACGCCAATGTGAAGGATGGCAAAATGGCGTTTATTGGTGAAGAATTTGACACTTTATAACCTGGGTTCACAGTCTCACTCCCCCATCTGCTTTCATCACAGCTAGGTGCCATTGGCTAATTATGGGAATAATTACCATAAACTGTTGAGGAGGGGAGTGATTCCATCTTTCCGTACATACCGATATCTTCCGACCGCCGGACCTTAGCTGCCCACAGAGGCCCTATGACATTTCCCATGGGGTCTCTCCAGTTGTTGGCAGACACAGCCTCCTTTTCATCCTAATTTTCTTGGTCACATCTCCCTCTCCTTTTCCCCATTGGCTGAAGTCCTGGAGAGGTCCAGACTGCCCAATACCACTTAATATGAACCCTTTTAGCTATAATTTTGTTTAGCTAACGATATTGATGGCTGTGTTAAGTCTTTGTTGTTCTTCTGGAAGTTGATGAATTTAGCAGGACCTTGGCTGAGCAGCAGTCTGTGTCATCAATTAATAACATTTTGTGCAGCTGATGGCTCCTCCTGTCACTTCCTTATGTCCACGTCCCTGGCCCTATGTCCAGTGAGGTTCAGAGCATCGGTTTGTAAAGAGCCTTTGTTGTTCTTCCTTTGCTGGGGTTCCCCCGTTTTGGGGCCATCCCCCCTGGAGCAGGGTGTCCCCCCTTGGTGCAGGCGCAGGGCTCAGGCAGGGCTGAGCCAATCAGAGCGTGCGGCGCTGATGACTCATCAGTGTCCAGGCAGAGCCGCAGCTGCCAGCGTTGCCCAGCTGGAGCCCAGCTGCGCCCCTCCCCCCCGGGCCTTGGCGCCCCCCTTGAGGGGAATTTGGGGAGGTGGGAGGGGGGAGCGCCAAGGCCGGGCCCCCCCGCGCTGTGGTGGCGGGAGCGGCTGCAGTGGGGAGCGAGTGCGGGCGGAAGCGGCCGAGAGCCCAGCGCTGCCCCAGGCCGAGCTGGCCCAGCTCCATCCGTGCCCCTGCGGTGGGATGCTGTGGGACTGGGGGGGAAGAGGGAGGCGGCAGTGGGTGCTGGGCCTGGGGGCAGGAGGAGAAGGGAAGGAGAAGCAGGGTTGAAGAACAAAATGGTCAAAATATGTACCTGGGGTTGTGCAGAAGGAGGAGTGTGAGGTGGAGTAGGGACACAGGAGGAGCAGGAGGAGCAGGAAGAGAAAGCAGCACAAAGTTCATCCCTGTATCTGCAGCTCCCCCCAGCCCCAGGATTGTTGCCCTGCCTACAGTCAGCAGGTGACTGGGGAGGGGGATCCACGATTTTCACAGAACTGAATCTTGGTGTTTCTGAACTTTATTGTGCTAAATGTTGGTGCTTTGGTTTCTTGTGAGGGCTGAACCTTTCTATTGTGGAGGGGGTTTTGGCTGAATTTTGTTGTTTGATTAGTTTTTGATCTGTCTTGATGTTTGAAGAATGTTTGGGCTGAATCTTGGTCTCCTGGAGGTTCTTACAGACACAAGATGCCCAATGACTTTCTGAGATGAAATTGGACAAGGATGAACCCCCAGTCCAAAGCTCTCTCCTGTTGATTTTTTCCCCCCAACCAGGATTTTATGTTCCCAAGCTGTGTTCAGATGGAGGAGGAGAAAAAGCCCCGGAGATGCCTCACAAGGAGGGGCTGCAAACCCAGTCCAGGGAGTTGTGAGGAGGAAAGATCCCCCCAGTGCCAGGAACACAACCAGAGATCCAGCCGGAGCTCAGAGCTGGGGGAGAAGCCCCACAGGTGCTTGGAATGTGGGAAGGGCTTCAGGTACAGCTCTGACCTGCTCCGGCACCAGAGGATCCACACTGGGGAAAAGCCCTACGGGTGTGGGGAATGTGGGAAGAGCTTCAACCGGAGCTCCAGCCTCAGGAATCACCAGATGATCCACACGGGGGAGCGACCCTATGAGTGTGGGAAATGTGGGAAGAGTTTCAGAGATATCTCTGAACTGATGAGACACCAGGTGATCCACACCGGGGAACGGCCCTACACCTGCTTGGAATGTGGGAAGAGCTTTGGGTGGAGCTCCTGCCTGAGAGCACACCAGCTCATCCACACTGGGGAGAGGCCCTACAAGTGTCCCGAGTGTGGGAAGAGGTTTCGGACCAGCTCCCATGTCCTCCAACATGAGCGGATTCACACAGATGAGAGGCCCTTCCGCTGCCCCGACTGCGGGAAGGGCTTCCAGCAAAACTCTGCCCTCACCGTCCACCGGCGCATCCACACTGGGGAGAGGCCCTACGAGTGTCCCCAGTGTGGGAAGAGCTTCTCAGACAGCTCAGCCTTGACCCAGCACCAACGGAGGCACCAGTAAGGGAAGCCCTGTGAGTGCCCCGAGTGCGGGAAGAGCTTCGTGCGCTGCTCCAGCTCCATCCCCCATGGGAGGATCGGCGTTGGATGATCCCCAGTGACCCCCGTTGGGCAGAGCCCTGGTGATCCGTGGTCCTGGTGATCGGTGTTGGGAAGACACCTGGCTGGGAGGCTCCACATCTTCCTGGCTCCCTGTGGGCACCTGGATGAAAGCAGGGGAATGAAAATCCAACAGGATGCAAAATGACAATGGGAATTGTTGACTTTAAATCCTTTTAACCTTTTGCCACTGACTCAAGAGCTGTGTGGGCAGAGAAAAGGGGGTGACACCAGACATGGGGGGCCCGACAGGAGCACATACGCTCTGTGGGGGGGGAGGACACGACCCCCGGGACCCCCCCTCACCTTCCTGCACAGGCAGAAGTTGAGCCCCAGTGCCAGGAAGATGAAGCCCAAGATGGAGACTCCAATCCCCGTCAGCATCTTGCTGTGGGCAGCATCTGACGGCATCCCTGAGGGGGTCTGCAGGGGTCAGGACCCCCAAAACCTCTCACAGACATCCCAAGCCCCTCCAAGGACCCTCCCAGTCTCTCCCAGCCCATCCAGGACCCTCTGAAACCTCCTTAGGAGTTAATAATATTAAAAAAATAAGAATTTTAGAAAAATAAGAGATCTTAGTTAGAAATCAGCCTTGCTGGAACTAGTTAGAGTTAATGATGAAGTGAGAAGCAGGATTTGAGATAATGCACCTTGGACTTAGGTAAAAAATTACTTGTCATTGTATGTTTGTTCAGCTGTGCTTATAATGAGAAAAGAGAAACAGATAAATGGGTTCAGGAAGATCACAGACCTTACATCTGGAAACCCATTTCTAGGTCACAAGGGAGGAAACTGGAGTTGTACCAAATGTTATTTGTAATGTCAACCATTGTAAAGGTAGAAAGGTGAGAGTGAGGAAGAGCGGTTTTCCTTCATCTCTTGATGACTCCTCCTCACCAAAATGACCTCCTCCTCAAATTAGGGAGCTAACCATGTAGGCATAACGATGTTTTAAACTCATTACCATTCATTTTAATCTGAAGTGGAGCATGGGAGGTGTTAGCATTATGAATATGTATTCATATTTTGGATATTCAATACTTTTGTAAATAAATAGACACTGGAATCTTTTGTCAACTTGCAGTGTGTATTAAGGGGTGACTCCCGCACTCGCCCAGTGCTGGGATTAAACATCCACTTTGTAACTTTAAACTGTTGGAGAGGTTTTTTGTCCATTAACAGATTGATATTGATACTGGATCAATATCGCTATTTTGGTAAATCACTCCCAGTCTCTTCCCAGCCTCCCCAGGACCCACCAGAGCCCCTCCTGTTCCTCTCAGGATCCCACAGCCCC